GGGAATTGTAGGGAGGGACTTCAGAGATAATGATAAAAGGAGAGTGAGATGAAATCCTTGCTCTTTCTTAGAAGTTCACATCTTTCTGATAGTTAAGTCTTCCCTGTTTTGTGGTGGTTCAGAGGAAAGGGCATAGGAAGAACTAAGGTAATATGGTGGACGTTTACTCAAGTAACTGGTCTGAAGGTATATAAGATGAGATGGTGTAATTAGCAGACACACTGGATCCAAGGCAAACAGTTGGTTATTTGATTGTCCTCCTTAGGTTGATGGCATAAAACAAAACAAACAAAAAAACTGAAGGTAGCTTTAATAATAAAATAAGCTGACGGTCTGCTATAAGGAAACATACTTTAGATGAAAAGCAATATAATTTGTTTCTCTTCAGGGAAACTCATCTTGTCCCTCTGACTTCCTCTTCTGTAGTAAGTGTGTTGAAAGTGTTAGGCCAATGTGATAACCACCATACTCCATAGTAAGCAAGCAAATACATTCCGGAAGGTTGTTTTTAACGGGCAACTCAATATCACAGTTTTGCCAATTCATATTAGAAAGGCATAATGAACCATTCGCATCAGCAGGCTCCTCTCAATTCCCAGGCAAATTTCTCATATCATTTAAATTAAGCCCCAAACTTTTTTGACGTCTTCATATTTGGTGAGTGGTGTGGATTAACGCTGGGTAAATTACTGGTCTGTAGCGTTAATCAGCACAAATTTCTTACGATCTGATATGATAAACTCTAGCCCACATTATCACTGTGCTGACATTGTATAGACTGAAAATATAATGCAGAAAGTTAGCTTTTAAGATTTGCTATCAAGACTGACACCTGAAATGCAGAAATTTATGTGTTTAAGCAATTTGTAAAATCTCTTTAATGCTTCCTTGCTTCAGCTAAACATCAAAAGCAAGAAATAAGCCAGATGCATCATAAAAGGAATGAATTAAGCTCAAAATTTTGATTTACTTCTCTTAACTTTTCCTGAAGTTCTACTAGAACTTTTATTGTCTTAACTTAGTGACACAGATCATATCTATTACTGGCTTTAAAAATTAGATGTGTTAAAAGTTCGGTGATTTTGTAGTTGAGAAAGCCTTAGATTCAATGTAACTTTTTTCAATCTGAGAAGCCACTTTAATTTTTAAAATTTCAATATGCTGTACAGCTCTTGTTTCTTAAGAGCTAAAAAATTTCATGCAAACTATTACAGAAAATAATCTGAAATTCATTTACCAAATAAAGTGCAATCACATCAGAGAATCCTAAATATTTGAATAAAATAACACCATGGATAGTTATTTTCTCAATTACTTTCCTTAGACTAAAAATTTTTTCTAGTCATTGCTAAGAAAATTGCATTTGGGCATAAAGAACTATTTCCTAAGTAAAGGAAAGTAGTGGAGAAAGAGGGTAGCAAAACAGCCAGGTGTCTACCAGCAGTATAACCACCCAAAGGAAAGACTGCAAAAGGCAGCATCACCTCCATGTGATCAAGCTCATCCACTTTCCTCATTGCCCGGTTCTGCTGCCAAGGTCCAACTTCCTCTTGCTCTTCTCTGCTACCTCCACAATTACCTTATTTCTCTTCAACTAAATGTCTGTTAATCAATGCCTGTACACTCAATAATAGGCTATTTTCTCCTATTCTTAACTTGCCTTAGTTAAGAAAGCATAAACTGCTTTCTCTAGTTATCATGAATATACTTTGGTCAACCATGGTAGAAGGATACCATATACCAACAAGTTACTTCTAACGAAATCTCAGTTAAAATCTTCAAATTACATGTTGGAATACTGGGATGTCTCAAATCTGAGGGGCTGGGCTCCATTTTCCTTCTCTAAGGGTTCACACATGCTACTGCTGGGGTGACTGGCATTCTCCTCCCATAACACTGCTTCTGTATCTGAAATGAAGCAGCTTTTTTAAGGAGAAAAAGGGCTGATGTGGAAAAAGAAAGTTGCATATAGGTTTCCAACCTCTTTCCAATCTTAAAAGTAACTATTATAACCTAATTAATGATGACAATGTGTGATCATTTTACTGTCTCTCTGTATGGTATGAAGTCCTCAATTACTCCATTTTAATGGTACAGGCAGCCTTAATTAGAGGAGCATATCTGTGCATAGAAAATAAGCCACTTTTGTCTTTTCCTTTCTCTACACACATCAATGCTTTCCATATTATCACAAAATGAAAAAGAAATTTTATCCTTTTTTAAAAAATACTTCTTTTTCATTCATTTGGGGGTATTTTAACTGATACCATCAATTGAGTGATTCTCAAATAAAATAAAACTAGACTTCCTAAACCTAAAATCTGGTGAAGTTTTTCCTTTGGTTAGATTGCTGCTCCTTTAAAATAACTCTGTGATGTTCATTTCCTAGGAGTTCTATTGAGAGTTTCAGTGTACAAGACGCTTCAGTAAAATTTTAGGTAGGACACAGCATTCACAACTACAGCATACAAAAGTTAGGTGACAAATATGCGCATTGCCTTTTCTGGAGGAAAAAATTATATATTCTATCTTCCAAACTGCTTCCTCTTGATGAGGAAAAGCCTTCTTTTCTCTTTACAGCTTCAGGAGGAACATAAAGCTGTTGTATTTAAAAACATGTTTAAGCATCTGTCAAAATAAGCTGAATGTTACCTAAGCCTTATCATTCCCGAATAAACTATTCTGATAGGACCAACAGCAGAAAAAGAATATATTCGAACAATGCATTATCTATGAAAAAATAACACTGATCAGGGTTGAGAATCATTATAGTTGAAAAAAGACCAAACTGGCCATAGGATACATGAAAGTAAAAACACTGGGGAATTAAAATGCCAGAATTCAACTGTAAGATTTTACATGTGTCATTATATAGGTTTACCAACAGAGAATGAAGTTGATAAGTCAAATTGCTCTGGATACACATTAGTACCACCAGTTTTATTTGTATAAGAAATGACTGGTCCACTGGACTTTTCTATATAACTCAGTAATAATTACTGCTCCTTCTGGACAGACCAGTGATATTTCCCCCATAGTTTTAATGTACAAACCCAGAATAGTTAGGAAAAAAAATCCCAAGTATAAATAGTGCAACCTTTAATCTATTAAGGGTCACTAAATTGTTACCACTGATTATTAGAAATGATCCATTTTATTTAAACTAAAAAAAAAATAATTAAATTTCTCTTCTTCAGTTGTGGGCCAAGGAATATGCTTGGCAAGACAAAGCAGTAAAGACAACAGAGATTTGTGATTTTTCAGAAAAAAAAAGTCTCAATTAAGGAAGGGACCAAATTTTGGAAGCTTGACAGAATAAAGATGAAAAAAATTCCTTTAAAAAGAAAATGTCAGTTAATTGGTAAAATTTTGGTAGTAACAGGAATTTTAATTAATCTCCTGGAATCATGACACGGATGAGTGAAGACTTGTGATGCATGGCGTAAGAGCTAATGACAAAAGGGCATACTAAGGGGCAGTAATTATATGCTTTTAATACTAAGTAAATGATAATGCTAAATTTAATGCCAATCACATTCAAGGGAGAAAAATCCTTTAGGGTTTTGGGCTTATCTGATGACTTAGGAAATAGGAAAGAAATTAGACAAAAGTGAAAATGAGCATTGTGTACAGACCATTATAGTCTGAAATTTCTAAGAAATATGCTTTTTCTGTATAACCAAGTTTAGGCCCCCCAAATTGTAAAAGCAGTTTTTCCGTCACAGGAGGGCGTGAAATCTAATGTTCATCCTTTAAAACTGCTGGGAGAAACGGCTGCCAATCTCTGTTTCATCGCTGTCAAGTGAGAGAGGAAGGATAACTTGTTCTATGCTCTCAAAAGCACGGTTTCCCCAAGACAGACTTTTAATTTGATCAACTTCTGGCTAAAGTAAGTGGGCCCAGAAGAAAAACTATCCAATGAGGGTGTAGAGAGTCTATGAAATAGCTGTGCCTTCTAATCCCAAGTTGGTAAAGGCTGTACTTCAATTACCCTACATGTTGAAGCTTAATAAGGCGTAACTTCAGTTACGGTTGGAATATGGGCAAATGTATTCCACATCTGTTCCTTAAAAAAATGTATCAGACCTCTTCAATAAATTTCAACTGGTTGCGTGGACGTGTGTGAAGGCTTTGTTGTAGGAGACACGCTCAGGATTCAGAAGCAGCAGCAACTTAAAACATCAGTAATAAAACTTTGGCTTAAAATTAAAAAGAAAGGAAGGAAAAGTCAAACAGGTACAAGTCGTCTCATGAAAGAGGTATTGTGGACTAAACCCTCAAATGCTGTCCAACATTAGTTTCCCCTGTGTTCACTGTTATCACCTTCATTGTACAGGAGTTATATCATTCTTTTATGGTTAAGTTTCATAAATAATGAGAAAACCATATGTAACAAATACATCATCTTTCCCACCCACCCAGCAACCCTCCCCAAAATAAGAAAAGTTACATCAAATTAAAAAGTAGCTTCGTGAATGAAGGTACTGCTCTAAGTTGCACTTTCCCTGCAAGTGCGGCCAGTGCTTTTGCGCTGGGTATGAAGGAAAGGAAAAAATTCTCCACATAAACTGACAAAAAATTTAAAAATCAATGTCCGGTTTCAACCAGTCAAAACCGGGCCAAGCGGAAGCCGAGGTATCTCGGTACCGTCCCATCAGAGGGTCCTTGCAATGCCTGTTCTTCATCCTGATAGGTATCTGTATCCTTGTGATTGTAAACAATCCAGAAGATACTATGTTTTTGTTCCTTAAAATGTCCTCTGATTGGCAAAATGAAGTAAGTATTTGTTTTAAAAATAGAAAATGAAAATTAAAGAAGAAGAAAAGAAAAGAAACACAGTGAGCTTGTTTGGAGTCCATAGGATCCGATCTGGAAGAGCTCGGAAAATGTGTTATATGTCTTCTCCTGTTTTCGGCTGGAAAGGTACTAGAGGTTGCGTTGGTCGAGGAAAGAATTGTAGAGTAGGAAAACCAAGGATGTTAATCTAGACTTCAGAGGATTCAAGTGTTAGCTTCATCATCTGTGTCTTCTATCAATACCTTAGTGTCACGAGCCTTGGATCTAGTGGTAATGAGAGGAAAAAAAAATACTTAGTCCATTACTAAAATACAAACACATCCAAAGTATTAGGTACATTTTCAATCTTACTACCATTAAAAATACATCATAACCAGTCATAGACACTATATACTACACCAGACAGACTGCTCCTAGAGCTTTGTATTAAATTTCAGATATTACTGTAAAAACACTAAGAAACTATACGGCAACCAGAGGAAGGAAACAACAATGGCAGGTCATGTGTAATGTGCAATGGAGGGGTTTAGATTTTATGATGTATTTTTTTAAGCTCTCCGAGATGCCAATTTTCACCTCTGTAAAGCAGGAATAGTGATACCTTTTTACATAATACTGCTTTCACTTCATGGAGACAGTATGAATATCAAGTGAGAGAATGGATATAAAAAGCATCAGTAAAGCATTAAATAAACAGAAAGAATTACAATGACGGTAACAGAAAAATCATTTGAGGAACACATGAAAAACCAGGAGAGCTGGCCAGTAGATTAAGACTAAAGGAGAGACATGACAGCTGATGAAGTATACACAGAAGAGGGGCTTCCCTGGTGGCTCAGACGGTAAAGAATCTGCCTGCAATGTGGGAGACCTGGGTTCAACCCCTGGCTTGGGAAGATCCCCTGGAGGAGGGCAGGGCAACTCTCTCCAGTATTCTTGCCTGGAGAATCTCCATGGACAGAGGAGCCTGGTGGGCTACAGCCTATGGGGTCACAAAGAGTCGGACACGACTGAGTGACCACACACAGCACACAGAAGAGAGAAGACTAAATCATGTTAGAAAGCCCAACCAGGATCAACTGGTTGAAGTTATACTGAAGCATATTTCAACATAAGCTATCTACCACAGTAACTATCCAACAATAAAATCAGGTACCTTGTATAGTTATAAACTTCACTATCACTGATGACTGTTAATCAGAATAAGATAATCAACTATTCAGGATTCCATAAAAGAGATTCTTGTACAGGATGAAAAATGGAGTATTAGATAAAGTCAAAATATTCTGCAACTCATGAGCTCTATGAGGTAAAGTAGGTATTATTATTACTTGACAGAGGTAGAAATGGACATTCCAAATGTTAAGGATGTGTTAAATGGTTGCATGAGTCTCAAAGTTAGCATTCAGTCTCAGATCTTATTTTAGATTTGCTACTGTCTCCTTTGCACATAACCTGCTCCATTGTTCTAAATGTCTTCCTCTGGAGGCAATCTAATATGCTGGTGTTTTTCCACTGAACATCTGAAACTGAACGTAAAGATCTACTGCTTCCTTGTTTTTGAAGCAGAAAGAGTGTATGTCTGGATTGCCCTCTGCTGGCAACTAGTGAGGACTTGACTTTCAAATTTAGGAGCTCAGTGGGACAACCATCTACTGCACTGTCTTCCAGCCCTTTGTGGACCTTCCCTTACTACCTCTACCAGTCTCCACATCCCCTCCTCTTGCTTCTTCAAACTCTGCTTCCTGCTGTATGTAATGGTATCATGCTTTGTTCTGACGTTCCTCCTACCGACCTCCCTGACCATTCCTTTCCGACCCCTTTTGTTTGTTCTTTTTCTTCTCTTGCCTGTGCTTGATCCCCAAGACACTTCCCTGCTCTGCTTTCCTCTACCTTCTCTTCTTCAGAGAACTTACAAATTCTATCGAGCGCTCAGGCAGTTTCTCCTCTGCTCCCTGCGGGTTACCACCAGCTCTAATTTTTTTTTTAAACTTCCTTTAAAATGTTTCCTTGTTTTCTTTTTTGTCCTACTCTAAGAACCCTAATCCAAGTCTTTAATGTTCCATACTTAGAATAATGCAATGGTCTTTTAATTGATCCGGCCTTCAGTTTTCCCTTTCCCAATATATGTTGCACAGTGCCACTGAAAGTTATGAATATATTACGTTCATAACATTCTATGAAAAAATTCTGTGACTTCTTCCTGCCTACAAGATAAAGCTTTCAGTCTTTTACAATCATACTTCATTCAGCTAAATTTTGTTACTATTTGTTAACGAGCTCTAGTCACATGGCTTTTCTTTCCATCCCTCATTTCCACCATTATGTCTTTACTGTGCCTCTAGCCTATCCAAACACTCCCTTATCCTTCAGAAAACTGCCCTGTCTCCTCTTTTATTCCAATCCTTTGTGATATCTACTGTCTCTAAATTTCAAATGCGGCCACATATACCCTATATTTAGAGGGTACAGCTATCCTCCAAACAACTTTTAGGAATATACAAAGTCAATGACCGATAAAAATATTGCTGTAGGTATTTACTAAGAAAGTAAAAAAATAATAGCTTATACTTATTGTGCTCTTTCTGTGAGGAAACTGGTGTACATTCCAAGTCATAACAAATAATCTACCTAACCACCCTCTGAACAGGGACCATACTAGTCCCTATTTCCAGATGAGCAATAATATAGAGAAATTAAGTGATTTGGCCAAGATGACACAGACGTCAAGTGGCAGAACCAGGGTTCCTAAAATTTATAACTTGAAAATGATTTTTATACAAGATAAACTTAACAGTCAAATAAATTATTCTCCAACAAGTTTTCCCCAGTGTGCTTTTAAGCCAAATCAGTAGGTATTAATTAATGCATTAATTAACATACTAATGATATTTTACACTATGTGTCCATTAAGACATTCTATACATAGGTTGTGAAAAATGGTTGAACACCAGCAATTTCATCAGGTTCAACATGACTGCTTCTTAACTTAAATGTTGTTGTTTAGTCGCTAAGTCATGTCCAAACTCTTTTGCAACCCCATGGACTTGCCAGGTAGCTTGCCAGGCTCCTCTGTCCGTCAGATTTCTCAAGGCAAGAATACTGGAGTGGGTTGCTATTTCCTTCTCCAAACTTAAATGCTACCCAGTACTAAAACCTGAAGGGAACGCATCTCACAGAAGCGGCAGCCATACGTACTGAGAGGCGAGGCGAGGCCGGCGCAGGGATATGCTCTGACTGTACTTCCACGGCCGATTCTTCTGGCGGTTCCGAACCCCATCTTCCTGGTCCATCATCTGCTCTAGCAGCGTCTGATCATCGGCATTCAGAGGGGCCACAGAGATGTCCCGCACAGCACGGAATTCACCACAGTTATTCAGATGTTCATTCTCCAGGCGGAAGAAGTTCCACACAAATCGCCTTAGCAAAATGGGATAGGAGTAGGTGAATTACTTATAAAATTTGAATATACTACTACTATTACCTGTAGACCTCCAAGTACATCAACTTTCCACTCATGGAAATACACACACACACACACACACACACACAAAGGAATTAAAGACTAGAATATTAAAATAGAAAAAGGTGGTGTGTGTGTTGGGGGGAAGGGGACAAAAACGGAATAGGCAAAGGAAAGGGACTCATAGAACACAGGTTCAGAGTACTCATTCTTTCACTTTATTGAACAAATATTTATTGAATACCTACAGTATGACAGGAAAAGCCACAGTAAGACATAGACAAAGCCTATGCCTGTATAAGTGTAATTCCTAATAACAGAGACAGGTATTAAACAAATAAACAATTAGTTAACAGTATGTGCTCTGAAGAAAATAAAGCAGGGCAGGGGTACAGAACATGCTTCTTTGAAGAGATGACATCTAGCAGAAATCTGAATGATGTAAGGAAGCAAGTCAGGTAAAATTCTAAAGAAAAGAGTCTGAGGCAGAGGAAACAGCAAGTACAAAAGGGGCAGAAGAAACAGCAAGTACAAAAGGGACAGAGAAAACAGCAAATACAAAAGGTCCCACACTGGAGAGGACTTTGGTGTGTTAAAACAACAGCAATGTCAGTGGGGCTGGAATGGAACAAGAAGGTTAAAATGGCAGGAGATGAAGATGGAGAGGTAGAAAAGAGCCTGATCCACAGACAGCCTTAAAAGCCACAGTATAGAGTTTAGACTTACAGTGTGACAGAAAACAAGGAGTTCTGAGCTGGAGAATAATGTGATTTAAGATCAATCTATCTGCTGCACTGTGAAGAGATCAAAGACAGCTGAAGGGAGATCAATTAGAAGATGTTGTAGTAGTCCAGGAAAGAGATGACAGAGACTTAGATACAGGTGGGGATAACAGAGGTGATGAGCAGCAGACAGACAGGATTTATTTATGAAGATGAGGCTTACTGGACATGGGATGTGGGTGGTCTCAGGTTTCTGTTTTCAGTGAATGGTGACACCATTTACTAGAGATCTGAGTTGTTTCTATTGCCATTAGATGCCCAAGAGGAAAATTCAGTAGCTAGATGGATATGAGTTTGCAGTTCAAAGGAGAGACTAGGACTACAGATAGCATAAGAACAGAACTTCAAGTCACGGGCTTAGGAATAAGTGGAGGAGAGGCGTAAAAGAGGACCAGACCTTAGAGCATGCCAACATTTACAATTTGGGAAGAGGAAAAAGAACCAGTAAACAAATGGAGATGGAACAGACCGTGAGACAGGAGAGAGTAGCCCCTGAGGAATCTAATGAAGAGCTCTGCTGAGAGGTAGAGTCAGATAAAATAACCACCACTGGACACAGACCGAGTGTAAAGAGGCAACACGGTCTAAGAGCACAGATTCTGGGAGGCTGTCTACACTCAGATCAGGGGTCTGCTACTTACCAGGTGTAACAGCCTTGGATGATTCGCTTAGCTGATGCTTCATCAGCAAACGAGACAGTAACAGTACTTATCTGACAAGACTGTTGTGAGGATTCACTGAGTTAGTATATGTGAAGTGCTTGGAACAGTGCCAGGTACACAGAAGACAGCACATTAGTGTTTGCTGCTCTTATTAATTATTAACAAAAGCCATTTAGTTTGAGTACTGAGGAAGAGGACGACATGAATTAAAGGGAGAATGGGGAAGGAGTCAAGAGAGCAGAGATAGCAAGTAAAGTTATCTCTTAAAGACTTTTGCTGTAAAAGAGAGCACAAAAATGGGCAGTAGTTGCAGGAAGAAAAAAGATTCAAAGGATCTTTTTTGCTTCTGCTTTAAATGGGTGATATAACATCTGATGCTATTAACCAAATAATTTTTTAAAAAGAAAAAATCAAGAATAAAAAAGTAATTGAGCTACCTCTTTTTTTTTTACTAGAAAAAAAATTAAACCAGCATACATGAAAGATAAAGAAGTGAATGGGGGGAGGTGGTGGTGATGGAGAATTTCAATGACATTTCTATTCAGAATTACTTTAAAATTTCCATTGCAATTTCAACTTCAACCCATGGATTATTTATATATATGCTGCTAAATTTCTAAATGTTTGTGAATTTTCAGGTATCTTTTTGTGATTTTACTCTTCCAACATTTGTTAAGACTTCCTTTATACAGCCCAACACACGGTTAATTTTGCTAAATGTTCCATGTGTATTTAAAAGCATTTGTATTTAGTAGCTGGGTTGTACACAATGCTCTACATATGTCAATTAAGTCAAGTTGGTTAATTGATTACTTGTTTTCTTAAAATTTTATTTATTTATTTTTGCCTGTGCTGGGTCTTCATTTCTGTGTGGGCTTTTCTCTAGTTGTGGCAAGCAGGAGCTACTCTCTAGTTGCGGTGTGCAGGCTTCTTGTGTGGCTTTTCCTGTTGCAGAGCACGGGCTCTAAGGTTCAGAGGTGTCAGTAATTGTGGCACGTGGGCTCAGTAGTTGTGGTTAGCAGGCTCTAGAGCACAGGCTCAATAGTTGTAGTGCACAGATTTAGTTGCTTCATGGCATATGGGATCTTACTGGATCAGGGATCGAACTCATGTCTCCTGCATTGGCAAGTGGAGTCTGTACCAACTGAGGCACCAGGGAAGCCCTGATTACTGGTTTATACTGAGAAAAGTATGCTAACATTTTCCTCTAAAATTATAAATTTATCTACTTTTACTTTCTAGCAATGTCAACTTTCATTTTACTATTTTCAAGCTATGTATTAGGTGCATACAAATTTGAATTGGCTATCACAGATGAATCTCAAAGTCTTTTGGTTTGGCAAATTTCTTTAGTGCAAAATCAGCTTTAGTGTTCTGCTTATCATGGGGTACCTGCCTTCACTTAAGAGTTTGGGTTATCGTGTCAGATCACTGATGTTTTTAGGAATATTAAAAAAACATTTATCTGGCACTTTTATTGTTTCCACTGAGAAGGTGGGCTAAATAACCCAGGTTGCTACATTGCGAAGTATGATCCTCAAAAGATTTTAATTCTAATTTCTGTTCTAAGACTTTTTACCTCCTTGTTTCTACTCACAACCCTTCTAATGGAGCTCAATTATTTTTTTTTAATTTAAAAACTTATTAAGTGTAACATACATTCAGAGAAGTGAACAAGTATGATGGGCACAGCATAATGAATATTAACAAATTGAACCCATTGTGTAATTAGCACACATTTCAAGAAACAGAACATTACTGCACCTTACTCCCCACTCAGGAGGTTCTCCTGGTGCCACTTCCACTCACTGTCCCCCAAGGGCAAATACTATTTTGACTTCTAATACCATAGATAAATTTAGCCTGCTTTTGAACTTCATAAATTTGGACTCATACAGGGACATACTCTTTTGTGGCTAACTTCTTTGACTCAATACTTTGCTTTGTGAGATTCATTCATGTTTTTGTATTTAGTCTTTTGTTCTCATTACTGAATAGATTTGCATGTGTGTAAATATCACAATTTATCTATCTGCTCTAATATTACTAGGCCCTTGGGTAGTCTCCACTTTGGTCTGCTGCAAATAATATTATTGTGAACATTCTTTTATGTAGATCTTGGTGGCCTTAGGTCAGCATTTCTGTTTGCTATATACCAAGGAGTTCATGCATAGCTTTGGTGGATACTGACAAAGAGTTTCCCAAAGTGGCTATTGTACTAGTTTCCTCCTACTTGCAGTGTTTGTAAATTCCAATTGTTCTATAGTCTTATCAATACTTGGTGTGTCTGTAGTTTTCATTTTAGCATTTATAGGTAAGTAGCTGTATCTCAAAAGTAGGTTTAACTTGCATTTCTCTGGTGACTAATCATGTAAAGAACATTTCCATATGTTCATTAGTCATTTAGATATTCAAATGGGAGTCCAATTCTAAAAAAAAAAAGCTTCTAAAAAAGTTACAATCAGCATAACTTTGTAAGAATTAATGTCTTAGTCCTACAGTCAGAATTTTCCAACACTGAGGCAGTTGAGAAGTCTGAGAAAAGCTGGAAATTTTAAGCTTTTCAGGTATAAGTTTTTAATGAAATCTAATTTGTAAGTATTGAGTAACATTTTAGGTAAAAAAAAAAAAATCTCTGATAAACTTTACAGTAGTCTGCTTACCGGAAAACCTCAAGGGGAGCAAAGACAGTAGCAATGATGTCCCCAGAATGAGGCAACAAAGTCATGGAGGTAATTGAGATCTGGATAGTCCAAGCAAAGCGCAGGATCACGTCCTCTATGATGGCACTGTAATAGTAGGCCTGAGGGATAATAAGCAAATTGAGTAATCGGACCATCATGTTTCTTACAAATAAGCACACCTAGTACAGTAAACAAGAGTCATATATCATACTGACAAGTGTGAGTAAAATAAGTAAAGAGTTCTATATTTTAAAAGACTTCACCAATTTAGTTTTTTTCATAGATAGGACAATATTCAAAATGAAGTTTTACTGAATTTCAGTGATCCTTTAACAAATATATTAATACTTCATTCCCATACTGTGTACTAGGCTCTCTTCTAGACCCCAGAAATACAAACCAGATGCGATCCTCGAGCTGACTGAGAAGACATTCTAAAATGTAGGTGATACACTAATAGCTCAATAGTTCAAATTAGAAAATATGAGATTTATTAACCATTATTTGCGCTTTTACTTTCAAATTGCCTTACCCTTCATTTGAAAAAAGTTCTTCCTTCTTTTTTGATGTCAGAAAATAACACAAAGCTTAGCTTTCACAGACAATTAAATTTAAGGAATGCTCCATTTCCACATGGGGAAGACAAGCACTCAACTAATTCTTTCAGTTTTAGCCACACAAAAGTCTTAAGGACACAGACTGCCAACTGACCGGGACTATAATTCATGGATTTTCTATTCATTTCAAGATATCCAGCTCTTTAAAAATATGTATTTAAAGGCCACAACATCTTATGGGAACTAGAACTGCTAAGTATTAAGTCATAGCATTTTATTTTATTAAAAGAATGTCAGCAAAGGAATATCAGTCAGTCATGGTAGAAGGCTATTAAACAAAAGAAACAGCAGTCCTCTTCTTGTCCTATTCTCTAGAGACAAACATCTTCAAATTTTGAACATTTATCTTATTGCTATATCTTGATTAATCAATTTTAGACATTATTCACTGCTTACTATGATTAATTTTATGAAGATTTTTAAACACATTAACATATCTCTTTGTTCCTTCCCCCAGCCATTCAATACAGCGATAATATAATTTTTGGATAAATCCACATGCAGTGAAATCATTATTAGATGTCTCGATGAAAAGCTGCAATTTCATATGTCTTTAAGAGCCAATCAAGCAGATCCATAGCTGACTGATGTGGGAGTTGATGTTACCAAAAATTAAAAGTCTTTTGGGAGGAATACACTTAACTTGAGGTCAAGAGATACAGAAAAGTTAAGTTTTAATATGGAGATAACATAAATGCTTCCTGGACCTGGATATGGTGCTCAACAGACTGCACTGTTAATGCCAAGGAACTTATTTTAAGGTTCATATAGCTGTGTTCTTAACTTTTAAATGAAGACCCACTGAACTTCACAAATAGCTTCTTCCCTTTTTTAGCACAATAAATTTAACTCCAATATTTGCCCCTTTAAAGCTGAGAGGGGTATGGTGATCCTCTAGGACGTTTTTCTTATATATTTGTAAAGCCTAATGTACAAAAGCATATTATGACCCTAAAATGGGTCATAAAAATACATAATAACAAAGAAACTGGAAGATTCTATTAACTAATTTTATTACATAGAAATAAAAAAGTTAGTACTTAAAGGATGAACAGATTAACATTTATGTAAAGATATAAATAGCTCATCAAAGCAACCATCGTAAGAAGATAGAAATGTATTATATCTCTCAGTAAGGCAAGAACAGTACAAGGAGCAAAGGCACATGCATTTGGTGAACAAAAGGCCATCTTTTCTTGAACACATGTCTGCTGTCTGACTTGTGCTTAATATTACTTTTTTAAATTTTCTTTTCAAATGAGACTTAAAAATCACTGTCAGTAAACATCTCCTTTTCTGCCTTCATTTGTTTATATGAAGTTACCCTAACATATCATTTCATCATATTCAGTCTATCATTTATTTTCAATCCTCACACTTGAAAACAGCCTTCCCTAAGCAGCAATTACATATTACACAGTCACATACTTTTCAAAGTGCAATTCTGAAGTATTGGTGACATTTTGACATAGTATAAAATATTAGTGACCCAATTTATACTCCCCTCTGCATCACAGAATTTTAGGATTGGAAAAGGATCAAGAGATAATCTAGTATAACACCCTACCTTATAGAATACACTGCAGTTTGGTTGTCTAAAGTTATACAGCTCATTAGTGAGAGAGTTGGGGTTAGAATTCACTTATAAGGATTCCCAATTCATTGTTTAATTTCTTTCAATATCTGAGTAAAGATACTTTTGGTCTTTTGACTTTTTAATACAGTCCTTCTCATCCTTTCATTCATAATTTAGATAAGGTACTCAAATGATTCTCAAGTAATTATCCATGTATTTTTGGATAAAATCAAAACTTTAAGAAAACTGACTAAAATAAATGAAAAGAAAAGCTTTCTTGATGTACCCAAGAAAAGTCAGGCACCCCTCTTTCCTTTGTGCTTTCATAGCACTGTTCATTCAGTCAAGTATTTATTTATTCATTCATTCATTCCACAAACATGGTCTACTGTATGCCCGGGACTATGCTGGATAGTAAGGGATATAGATACCTAAACAGGTAATTAAAATGCAATGTAATAACTGCCATAATGGAAGTCTGTATAGTGTAAAATGGGACTAGGATGATTGGCTAATTATGCTTGGAGAAATAAGAAAGGCTTCTTAGAGAAAGGAACAAACTGACTTTTAAAAAGAAGGAACAAGGAATTTCCAGGGCAGTCCAATGGTTAAGACTTTGAGCTTCCACTACAGGGGACATGGGTTTGATCTCTGGCCAGAGAACTAAGATCCCACAAGCTATGTAGTGTGACCAAAAATAAATAAATAAAATTTAAAAATAAATAAGCATCTTGATGTAGAATGCTAAAAAAAAAAAAAAGAAGTAAATAAAAAATAAAAAGAAGGAACAAGAATTTGCAAGGTAAACTAAGGGGAAAGAGGGCATTTAAGACATAGGGTATGGTATGGTTGCTAAGTCGTGCCTGACTCTTTCACAACCCCATGAACTGTAGCCAACTCCATGGACTGCAGCCCACCAGGCTTCTCCCTAAGACTCATGAGACATAGGGAATTGCATGTTAAAAAATAAATAATAAATTATAGTTATGTATTCCTCTATTCTAGTCTTTATTACATTGTATTGCAATCTGTTTACTTATCTATTTAGAACATAGATTATAGCCTCCTTGAGAACCAGAATTTTACTGTTTTTATTTCCTACAGTACCCAGAATTTAGTTAACATCTGGCACATTTTCACTGACTGAATGGATTAGCATTTTTTTGTAATTATTTTCTTTAAGTAGGCTGGTGTTGGGTATATACTGTAATACACCTGAGTGTTCTGTTTTTGTGTTTGTTTTTTTTTTTTAAATAAATACAAGCACTCTTTGTACATACTTTTTGGGGATATACAATCTCTTCCCGGAGGAAGGTATTTTCTCCTGCATTCTTATCAAAAAGACCCCAGTCCATCTTCAGATCCCAGATGAGGGTATAACAGGAACTGATGAAACAAAAGACGATCCACAGATAAAAGAACACCGTGGTGTCTGAGTGACCTCGTTCTGAAGAAAGAAAAGGGAAAGAGAAAATTACTATATTTGAGTAAAATTCTTCATTAAGTAAAACTAATTAAAAAACAGATTCTTCCTCCAGCTCCATAAATAGATTTTAAGTAAATCTCCTTAGTAGGATCCCCATCTAAAAAAAAGTTAAGTAATAAATCTGATTTATCTGAAATTCAAAATAGTTATCAAACATTCAACTAATATACAAGATTTATACAAAAGTGCATTTAGAATTTAGAGGCTCAATGCTGAAAACATAATATTTCAAGTAACTGTGATAGAGGTTTAGAATATTACAAAAGTTGTCATTTTAATTTTTGCCATCAGGTGGCAGCTTTGGGTCAAATATTAAAAAAAAATTGTATGAAACACCATTAACAAGGGATGCGATGCATTTACTTTGAGAAATTCTTGGATTGTTTTTACTTTAGAACAACATTTCCTTCCTATACTTAGATCTTATCAATACTTATTGTGAAAACAGGTAATTTTAATTTTAGATAAAATGCTAGAAAGCAACAGATTGATAAGGAATGTATCCTTAAGAACATATATGAAAGCAAATTTCTCTCAAACCACAAAGCAAAGCATGATATTTTTGCTCCTTTTGGATTTTATTTAATGATGAAGTCACTCAGTCATGTCTGATTTGTCACAACCCCACAGACTATACAGTTCCACGGAATTCTCCAGGCCAGAATACTGGAGTGGGTAGCCCTTTCCTTTTCCAGGGGATCTTCCCAACCCAGGGATCGAACCCAGATCTCCTGCATTGCAGGCGGATTCTTTACCAGCTGAGCCACCAGGGAAGCCCAAGAATACGGAAATGGGTAACCTATCCCTTCTCCAGGGAAATCTTCCAAACCCAGGAATTGAACTGGTGTCTCCTGCATTGCAGGTGGATTCTTTACCAACTGAGCTATGAGGGTTTTAAGCTGACAACACTGTAAAGTGCACTAATTCAGAATAATACACAACTTTATCTTTTTCACTCTTAAGTGCTTTGTATATTTTCCAATGAAACTCTTCTTTGATAAGTCTGAAAGTTATTATGATGTTATTTCTGTTTTCTGGCTATACGGCATAGGTATATAATTACTACTAAATGGTCCTCAATCATCAGGAAAAAAAAAGGTATAACCTAATTCAAAAAAAAGTTTAAATTTCAGTTAGTTTCTCAAAGGATTAGAAAGTAAAGGCTGCATCATGTATTATCCATAATCCTTCCTATTAAAATAAACAAGTGCTAGAAATTCCCTGGTGGTCTAGTGATTAGCACTTGGTGCTTTCACTGCCAGGGCCTGGGTTCAGTCTCTGGTCAGGGAACTAAGATCCCACAAGCCTCACAGTACGGCCAAGCAAGCAAACAAACAAAAAGTTCTTATTAATCATTTTATATATTAAGGTGTTAAGTACAGTATTATTCAAAGGTACCCTTTAAACATCTATAATCTATTTAGTTGAAATGGCCATTTGTTATTGATGATAAACTGGAGCTCAAAATAAAATAAGCAAAGTACTATGAGAACATTAAGGAGAATGGGACTGTTTCCAAAAGTCCGAAATAAGAGGAAGCAGCATTTGAGTTATTTCTAGAAGAATAAATAAACAGTGTTGCAAAAGTCAGGCAGATGAGGCAAGGCTATTCAAGGCTAAAAGAAACTAATGAAAGGGCATGAGGGTGGGAAAGTGCAAGGCATTTTTTGAGAAGCTTCAAGTAATCTAAGTCTAGTGTGGGTGAAACAGAAGATGTGGGGGAGTGGGTATGCTTTGAAATGAGGCTGGAAGACATTCTGGGTCTGAATGTGGAATGCTTTCTTGTGCCTTAGGATTAGATCCATACTTCAGAAAAATACCTGATTGGCAGGTTGCTTTCATCAGAACTACTTAGTTGGATAAAAAAAGATACACAAATCTCTGAGCTCCAGTGTGTTGTTAGCAACAGTTTCTACCAGCTTTATGAGCTGATTAATAAATTTTCAAAAACTTTGCAAACTGGTTGTTAAACACAGTCATTTTAAGTTAAATTACATAAACTTATAATCTGCTATATTAAAAACAAAGGCAATGAAAACTCAGATTCATCACTTCCTAGTTATTTTACTAAAATGATATTATTTGTTCTTTTAGGTTATATATGTTTATTGTATCTATATAATGGAAATACTGTTTATCATCTCCCAACATTCCACGTGAATCATCTTGGTAGCTAGCTTGAAATTGGCTACGGTGGCAGTCTGTATTTACACCATGGAAATCAGCAAACACTGCAAATCAGTGCCCCAGCCCCATTCCCATTCCTGGAAGAGAACTACTATTTTAAACATGCCAGGACACCACTGTTCACATTCTTCTCCTGGAAAGTCAGTGGCAAGGAACAGAAATACAAGTTTTTTAAATGGCCCATAGCTGATTCTAATGAACAGTCAAGCTTGGATATAAACACATTTTAAGGTTTAAACTATTTCCACAAAACTTTCCTCCATCAAAAGCAAACTGGGTTAATATTTGTACTATAACATGGTGCTATACAAAATATCAATTTAAAAATTTTAACATAATATTTACTTACTACATAGGTTTAGTCGATATGTTATGACCTGTTCATTTCCTTCTATATACAGACATAGAATCTAGCTGAGTGATATTTTCAATAATTAGCATCATGGTTGCACACACAAAAAATCTGTAACTCATCTACTAAAGTGTGTAAAGAATAAAGCAAATTTAGCAATGTAATACAATTCATTCATTCATCTTATTTCAAAATAAGAACAGAGAAAAAGAGAAAAATGAATTAATAATGAAGCTAAAAATAATGTGCTAATTTTCTGTTATTTCTTCTAGCTTTTTTTTTTTTTAGGTTCACTAAATTTATTTTAAAAATCATAAAATGTTTCTTACAAAAGAGCATTACATTCAAAAATATGGAACGCTTCACGAATTTGTGTGTCATCCTTGCGCAGGGGCCATGCTAATCTTCTCTGTATCGTTCCAATTTTAGTATATGTGCTGCCGAAGCGAGCACTTCTTCTAGCTTTTAAATGCAAGTTCTATCTTTAGAATATGGGCTTCACTGGTGGCTCAGACAGTAAACAACCTTCCTGTAACATGGGAGACCTGAGTTTGAGATCTGGGTTTGATCCCTGAGTAGGGAAGAACCCCTGGAGAAGGAAATGGCTACCCACTCCAGAATTTCTGCCTCGAAATTAAAATGGACAGAGGAACCTAGCAGGCTACAGTCCATGGGCTCGCAGAGAGTCAGACATGACTAAGTGACTAACACTTTCACTTTTCACTTATCCATCTTCAGAATATAATTCTTAAAATGGGACAATGGGCTAAATTGCCTTCCTTTAAGCCCATATTATTTCTATGAAGTTTCTATGAAACATACACAAGAACTTACTGACTTAAAAAATATTTTAATATAGTATTTTAGAATAAGTAATTTTTATCTTATGAACTTCTTCAAACAACGGTTAACATGCACCCGGTCTACAAATGCTATATTTTCGGTCTCTTTTTAATTATCACCCTTACTTGATATTTCCCATCTCCTAAATGAGGAGTGCGTCTCCCTGAAATTATCTGCCTTCATTGGTATTCAGGGATTGTATCAGGAAGATATTATCACTTTAGGCAAGCAATTACATCTAATTCTCTGTTGGCTAACTCTGGTAGCCCACTTTAGTAATGTTCAGAATCACAGAAAATCAAGTTATTGGTATTCTACCCTAAGCTTCTATTACACACCTGCCATATTAGAAGCATAATTAATACCAGACATATGGATGGTAATGGTTATCTACTGAATCTAAAACAAATAAGCTTCTTAGAGTTTTGTACCTATTAGGCTTCATAGGAAGAATAAAGCAAAAGAGTATGTTAGGGAAACTGCTAAGGAAAAAAACAGGAAAAAATCACATATGGACATCATCCTGAGCAATATTTCATGAAGGATATATTAAATATGGGCTTCCCTCACGGCTCAGACGGTAAAGACCTGCAATAAGACCTGGGTTCAAGCCCTGGGTTGGGAAGATCCCCTGGAGAAGGGAATGGATACCCATTCCAGCATTCTTGCCTGGAGAATTCCATGGACAGAGGAGCCTGGCGGGCTACAGTCCATGGGGTCTAAAGAGTCAGCCAGCAGGTTAAATATGAAAAAAGAGGCACTGTATGTAAAGTGAACAGTGTTCTTTCAACCAAAACCTTTCTACTCTGGTAATAGCTTACTAGTTTTTAATCTTAAATTAAACAAGGAAACAAAACAGACTGGGGACACTGTTTTCAAAGCCCAAACCTATATAGGTAAGCTGAGTTATGAATGAATATGGCATCTAGCAAATTCCTAGTTCTACTCCTATAACCTAAAAACTCAAAGCACTGAATTATAAGACTAACATGGTTCTCTGAAAATTAATGGATCTAGAAACTTCTGTGATCTTTAAACACATTTCAGTTAATATCTGAGGTCATATGTGCTATACACCTCCTTAGGTGGTTATTATTAATTTATCCCAGAACAGGCAAGACAGACATTATATTCCCATTTTAAAGTTAAGAAAGCTAAAGTTCAGCGAGACAGTCAATAAGTGGAAAGATAGGTGGGTTTGAAGTTAGAAGATCTGGGTTTGAATCCAGACTCTACCTCTTCTCAACTCTGTGATTATAGAAAATTCATAATTTTAAAATGACAGACAAAAATGGAAATCACTAGGCCTAAGGATAAATAAGGAAGCTAGTAATAGAAATCCTAATCAAAGGAAGTTTTTTTTTTTACTAGACAGCACCATTTCTCTAAGACCATCTCAACTCAAAAAGATAGCTCCATAAACTATTAAGCAATATTAAAAATATTTCCAAGGTATCTGGAAAGCAGAACTTAAAAACTATACATATATTACTATTTCATACTGTATATAACATGATGTTAATAGAAAAAGACAGAGGTAGCTATCTCTGAGGAAGAAAATATGATTATTAAGGGGATT